GATTCTTTTCTGTGCTTTTTTTTCTGATCTTGGTTTCTCATTTTATTTAATTTAGTTGATCTTCGACTTCTGATATTCTTTCTTCTGCTTGGTCAATTCGGCTTTTGAAACTTGTGCATGCTTTGCGAAGTTCTCGTATTGTGTTTTTCAGCTCCTTTAATTTATTTGTATTCCTCTCTAAGGTATTCAATCTTGTTATCATTTCATCAAATCTGTTTTCAAGGTTCTTAGTTTCTTTGCATTGATTTAAAACATGTTCTTTTAGCTCACAAAATTTTCTCATTAGCTACTTTCTAAAATCTAATTCCATCATTTCGTCACAGTCACTCTCTGTCCAGCTTTGTTTTCTTGCTGGTGAGGAGTTTTGGTTCTTTCTAGGAGGCGAGATGTTCTGGTTTCGGGTGTTTTTCTTATTTTTTTTTGCTGGTTTCTTCCCATTTTTGTGGATTTATCCACTTGTCGTCTGTGTAGTTGCTGACTTTTCGTTTGGGTCTCTGAGTGGATGCCCAGATTGTTGATGATGAAGTATTTCTGTTACTTTATTTTCCTTCTACCAGTCTAGCCCCTCTACTTTATGACTTTGAGGTGTACTCCAGGCCCTGCTTGTCTGGGGTGCACCTATAGCAGCTGCGGAACAGTGAGGAATGCTACCACTTTCTTTTTATGCTATCTTTGTTTCAGAATGATGCCTGCCAATTGTCAGTCTTCTGGATATAGAGGGGTCAGGGAGCTGCTTGAGGAGACAGTCTATACTTTATAGGAGCTCAATTGCTAAGCTGTGAGCTCTATTGTTCATTCAGGGCTGTTCGGCTGCTATGTTTAATTCTGCTGCTACAGAACTCATTAAAAAAACACCTTTTTTCTCAGATGCTTCATCTCAGGGGTGTTGGGGCTTTCATTGTATGTATCCGTTGTGCTGTCCTGCCCAGCTAGGAGGCAGTCTAGTCACTATTTGCCTGCCGAGGCTTTGCCCAGTTTGTGTTAGGTTCGTCCTGTTTCTGCAGGCTTTGCCTTTCTGTTGCAGTCTCCGCCCTTCTGCCACAAGCTATGCCCTGCTGCAGAGTATCTCTGTTGTAGGGGGTTGCTTTTGAAATTTCAGGCTGTGTCAGCAATGTGCATGTGCCTCAGTAGGGGCAGATTGCCTCGGTAATGGCGGACGACTCTACCCCACTGAGCTGCACCATACTGGGTTCAGCTTTGCCCTAAGGGAACCTCTTTACCTGTGGCATTTGGAATCTCTGTTTTGTTAGTTCCACTGCACTACTTCAAATACTGTTTTCCTGGAATCTTTTGGGCTGGCTCACTGTCCAAGTCTCATTCAGTCTCAAGTTCAGCCCTTCCAAGTCTCAGATTGCCAGTTAAACAGGGCACCCAGACCAGTGTGCTTTGTGCGAAGCGCTGTGTATGGCCCCTGTGCTACAGTGCCAGCCACCGGCCACACCAGCTGCCAGCTGCACCAGCCAAAACCTCTGCCTGGCATCCTGTGTCCCTTTTAAAAGGATTTTCCTCATTCTGTGGGCAACAAAGATTCGTGTGGAAATGCGGCCCTGACTCACCCTCTCCATGCATTAACCAAGAGGTTCAATCCTGGGTTGTTCTCACTGTGCCATCTTGAGTCCTCTCTCAGCTGCATTATTTCTAACACCAGCATTTTGTTTCCTTTATGAGCATATTTCACCTCTTTTTTTTTGGATACTCAGGGTTGCACTATCACCCAGATTGGAGTGTAATGATGTGATCTCTATTCACTGCAATATTCATCTCCCGGGTTCAAGTTATTCTTCTACCTCAGCCTCAGCTGGGATTACAAGTATGTACAAGCACTCCCAGCAAACTTTTGTATTTTTAGTAATGATGGGATTTCACTGTTTGCCAGGCTGGTCTCAAACTCCTGACCTCAGGTGATCTACCAATTTTGGCCTCACAAAGTACTAAAATTACAGGTGTGAACCACTGTTCCCAGCCTATATTTCTTCTTTTAATTCTCTTTTTTTGGGAAACAGAAAATAGTATTTATTACTTCATTAAAAAATTAATCTTAAAACAGTATGTTTTCCATTCCTTAGGTAAGATAATATTTTTGTGTTTGTGACTTTTACTGGAAGAAAAACTCAAAATATATTTCTACTTTTTTCATAAAATGTAACAACTTTTACAAAAGGCACTCATTAAAATGTTAATTGTGGCATGCTGCTGTGTATTTCATTTGATCATCTCTTTAAATAGATGAATGACACATGTTTAAAAACACTTTTTCAAGACCAATAATTGTAGTTTCCTGCAAGCAAAAAGCAAATTCTTCCCAGCTGTTTTCAACAGGACAATGCTGAATACAAGATTTACAGCAAAGGTCAACACAGTCACATTTTAAAGTCTCTTTCATTCTGTATAATCAGCAAACTTGGCACATTTTATTCCACCACATGAAAGGGGGTCTGCAGTGTGCTTGGCTCTTCCACACTGGCTCATTGGAGGAATGTAAATAGATTGGCATAGAGATGCTAAATCGCTTCTTTTGTTTCTTCCCCACCAATTTTATAGCTCTTTGTTGTCTCAGTACTTTCAAATATTTTCCATAGCAAAACTGGACTTATAATTTTTCAATCAGCTGCTTCTCATCTTCTAAAAAAAAAGTATATAATTCCCAGGGTGCTTTGTAAGATTGTAAACTGACTCAGGAAGGAAAAATTTGGTAAGAAATACTAGGGTAGAGTTGCTTGATACAACTGGGCATTAGGGGAAAATGAGATCAATTTCTTTTGAAACTCAATGTTACCAGACACACAAATATGTCACACATTTAACAGAATATTTTGTAATTCCAGCTAACAAGAATTAGCTCAATGACCACTACTTTCTTCAGAAAACTATGCTCAAATTTTTTTCCGCATAGCCTTGCTACAGTCAGTGCACACAATGCTTTCTTTGAAGAAGACCTGTGCAGTGCCCTCACATTTACTTTTTCCTCCATCCACCTCTTTGTCAGAATGAATCTTCTGTAAAAAACTAATACCTAAATTTCCTGTTTTTAACACTAGTTGCCAAAGCAACTAGCCAGTGCCTCTGAAATACATTCATGAAAGGTGAAATTATTGTTACACAAAAGTTCAAAGACATTATTCCACCAAGTCTTAGCTCACAGAAAACAACAGAAAATAAAGCAAACAAAAGCAATAATATAATAAAGTGTTTGAACAAAAAGGTTTTTTGGTGGGATTATTTTCTTTAAACAACATGAAATTTTGAGTTATTTAATCAATGTTTCAAAAGAGATAATTTAGCAACACATATGAGACACTTGCATTTCAAAGCAGGAAATGCATTTCTCAGGGGTTCTTAGCAATTCACCACCCTTTAGGGTAACTTACAGGTTAATGTGTTTATATAAGAATTTTTTTAAAAACTCAAATAAAATAAAATCATCTGATTGAAAATAAAATATTCCTTATAATATTTAACTATCTGAATAAAACATTTCAGCCCTGGTACTTGTTTGACAGACCTCCTTTAGTCCTATTTATTTATTTATGAAACTAGTCTCACTTTGTTGCCTCCCTAGTTCCAGAGATTCACCTGCCTTAACCTCCCAGGTAGTTGGGATTACAGTCACCTGCCACCATCGCTGGTTAATTTTTATACTTTTAGTAGAAACTGGGTTTCATTCTATTGGCAAGAGTGGTCTCAAACTCCTGACTTCAAGTGATCTGCCAATCTGGGTCTCCCAAACTACTGGGGTCATAGAAGAGAGCTACCATGCTCAGACTTTATTTTATTTTATATTTAATATTGAATCATAGTAACACTGCTAGCAATATCCATGTCTCTCTTATGTCTAACTTCTTAAAATTTTTATTTTCTACATCATTTTAATGGATTTTTGCCAAGAAAATAAATGTTTTTACATAAGCCTAGGAATATTTTTTAAAACTAACTAAAAGAAGAAGGCGTCTTCTAAGGAAGTAAGTAAATCTTACCCTGAAGATGTGTAATTTTCTAATGTAGCATTAGAAGAAAATAAATAAAACACCTAAACAACAGGAACTAAAAAAATTTCTGTGTACTTAGCCTTTAATCATAGATTGTCAAATAGAACAGAAGTCAACTAACAGATAAATTTTTTGCATGCAAATGCAATGAAACTGAAATAGAAGATATTCTAAACAGTCAATATAATCAGTTGGAAAATTGGATAAAATCTATTTCTCCTCACAATATAGTGATTTATACAATGACCAACCAGAAAATAAAGCTGATATCTATGGCAATTTACAATTATGACATCAGCAAATATGTGTTTATTATACAGGTATATGTAGAAAACACACATTCTTTTAACTCCAAAGAAGAAACATGCTTTAAATAAAATATCATTTTATATTGATGATCTTAAAGTGGACATTGGTTTGAAAAATGATTCAGGTTTTATGAAATATATTATCCGATCAGATATTGCAAGCTATAAAAAATAATTATTAAAACAATGAATGTTGGGCATGTTGGCTTAAGCCTGTAATCCCAGCACTTCGGGGGCCAAGGAGAGTGGATCACAAGGTCAGGAGATGAAGACCATCCTGGTCAACATGGTGAAACCCCGTCTCTACTAAAAATACAAATAAAAATTAGCTGGGCATGGTGGCACTTGCCTGTAATCCCAGCTGCTCAGGAGGCTAAGGCAGAATTGCCTGAACCCAAGAGATGGAGGTTGCAGTGACCTGAGATCACACTATTGCACTCCAGTCTGGGTAACAAAAGTGAAACTCCATCACACACACACCAAAAAAAAAAAAAAAGAAAGAAAGAACGAAAGAAAGAAAGAAAGAAATGTCCATGCTACACGAAGATAATAAAAGGAATAAACATAGGTGATCACATGAATATCGTAAAGTGGAATTATCCAGGAAGTGGAAAAACAGGATTCAAATCCATGAGCCTCATTAAAATAACAAGCAGATAATTTAAATTTCCTCCTGCTCAGTCATCTGCACGACAAAATCACTTACCTAGTATTCCCAGGCGGTAGTTAATGGTGATCACAATGACGTTCCCATAGCTTGCCAAAATGCTGCCATCAATCATGTTGGCCGTGCCCTCCATGTAAGATCCCCCATGGATATAGACCATAACCGGCTTCTTACTGTTCTGATCATGAATATCTGAAAAAGAAGCCAAGTAAGAAAACACAATAAAGAATCACACTGACTCACCGATGCTAAATTAAGAAAAAAGGAGATTCACTGATTTCCCTCCTTTGACTTGAATTAAGCACATTTATTTTTATGGATAATATGACCCTTGATGTGAGTTTCTAAACAAAATGGCCAATGCTGTTATGTTTTACATTTCTGGAAATGGTATTTTGAGAAGCTTCTGGACATTTCGCATACCCTACTAATGTAAGATTCTGTATCTAAAGCACTAAAAGAAAAGGTTTTAATAAAGTACATATTATCTAAATTTTGGTCACAGCTTAAGTTTGACTTGAATTGAAGAAGGATAAGGGAAACCTCAAAAATATATTTTATAATTTAGTTAAATGTAAAAGAAACTTCAAAATTATGATTGATTTTAATTTAGCTGTATCTTAATCTGCAGGTGACTGGACAGCTTCATCTTCAATTTAACAATAAAATCATAAAAATTATAGTGAAACTCCAGATAATCAGTAAGAAATTGATAATGACAAAAAATCAAAAGCAATAGTTAAAAGTTATTAACAGAACAGAAACTGGGGGGGAATAATATGTCCAAGCAAATGACTTTGTTGTAGTAACATCCTAACAAATTTAAGTGGCAATATTAAAGATACGTAATGAAAAATGGCAAGAAGATGGCGCTGTGAGAACAACCCAGGATTGGAGTTCTCGTTGTGTCTGTGGAGAGGTGAGTCTGAGCTGCAATTCCAGACTGATCTTTGTTGCCCACGGAACGGGGAATTTCCCAAGTGAAGAGGAGACGTGGGACGCCAGGAAGATGTTCTGCCTGGCGAAGCCGGCAGCCGGGGTGGCAGCGGCCGGCCCTACCCAGAGCTCCACACAGGGCACGCTTCTCCGGGTGCCCTGTTGAACTGGCAACCGGAGACGTGAGAGGGCTGGACTTGAGACTGAGCTAGACTTGGACAGTGGGTCAGCCCAGGGGATTGCAGGAACAGAGCGTTAGGGTTGGCCCAGTTGGACGAACAAAACCGCGATTTCAAACAAGCCCTGTGCAGACGGCCCAAGATGCTCTGAGGGGGAGGGGCGGCCACCATTACTGAGGCAACCTGCCCCAACTGAGATACACGCCCATTGCTGACACAGCCAGCCATTGCCGAGGCAACCCGTCCCTACTGAGATACACGCCCACTGCTGACTCAGCCTGCCATTGCTGAGGCAACCCGCTACAACAGAGAGAGACCGCCACAGGGCGTGGCAAAGAATAGCAGAACAGCAGAGCCACGGCGAGCCTCACAACAGCACAGCGAAGCCTCAGCAGGCACACCATGGCTAGTCTGCGTCCTAGCTGGGCAGGACCTCAACAGACATCCAAAACTAAAGCACAAACCCCTCAACACAGAGCATTTGAGAAAAAAAAAAGATTTTTTTAATGAGCTCTGTTGCAGCAGAATCAAACATAGCAGCCTAACAGCCCTGAATGAACAACAGAGCTCACAACTCAGCAATTAAGCCCCTATAAAGTACAAACTGTCTCCTCAAGCAGCTCCCTGACCCCTCTATATCCAAAAGACTGACATTAGGCAGGCACCATCCTGGGACAAAGATGGCAGAAAAAGAAACTGGTAGCATCCCTCACTGTGCCACAGCTGCTAGAGGTGCACCCCAGACAAGCAGGGTCTGGAGCGGAACTCAGCAGTCATACAGCGAAGGGGCTAGACTGATAGAAAAAAAACCAAGCAACAGAAATACTTCATCATCAACATTCAGGGTGTCCACTCAGAGACCCAATCGAAAAGTCAGCAACTACGCAGACGACCAGTGGACAAATCCACAAAGATGGGAAGAAACCAGCGCAAAAAGGAGGAAAACACCCGAAACCAGAACACCTCGCCTCCTAAAAAAGACCAAAACTCCTCACCAGCAAAGAAACAAAGCTGGACGGAGAATGACTGAGACAAAATGACAGAATTAGACTTCAGAAGATGGATAATTGGAAACTTTTGTGAGCTAAAAGATCACGTAATAAATCAAAGCAAAGAAATTGAGAACCTTGAAAAAGATTTGAAAAAAGATTCGAGCAAATGATAACAAGAATGGATAACTTAGAGAGGAATATGAATGAATTAAAGGAGCTGAAAAACAAAAGACGAGAACTTCGCGAATCATGCACAAGTTTCAATAGCCGAATTGAACAAGCAGAAGAAAGAATATCTGAAGTCGAAGACCAACTCAATGAAATAAAACGAGAAACCAAGATCAGAGAAAAAAGCACAAAAAGGAATGAACAACGTCTCCAAGAAATGTGGGACTATGTGAAAAGACCTAACCTACGTTTCATAGGTGTACCAGAAGGAGATGAAGAGAATGATTCCAAGCTGGAAAATACTCTTCAGGACATCATCCAGGAAAATTTCCCCCACCTAGCAAGACAGGCCAACACTCAATTGCAGGAAATTCAGAGAACACCACAAAAATATTCCGCAAGAAGAGCAACTACAAGGCACATAATCGGCAGATTCAACAGGGTGGAAATAAAGGAGAGAATACTAAGGGCAACCAGAGAGAAAGGTCGGGTCACCCACAAAGGGAAGCCCATCAGACTCACAGCAGATCTCTCGGCAGAAACACTACAAGCCAGAAGAGAGTGGGGGCCAATATTCAACATTCTTAAAGAAAAGAACTTTCAACCCAGAATTTCATATCCAGCCAAACTGAGCTTCAGAAGTGAAGGAAGAATAAAATCCTTTGCGAACAAGCAAGTACTCAGAGATTTTGTCACCACCAGGTCTGCTTTACAAGAGCTCCTAAAAGAGGCACTACACATAGAAAGGATCAATCAGTACCAGCCATTCCAAAATAACACTGAATGCTAAAGAGCATCAACATAATGAAGAATCTACAACAACTAACAGGCAAAACAGCCACTTAGCATCAAAATGGCAGTATCAAATTCACACATAACAATATTAACCCTAAATGTAAATGGACTAAACGTACCAATCAAAAGACACAGACTGGCAAATTGGATAAAAATCCAAAACCCATCAGTGTGCTTGTTCCAGGAAACCCATCTCACATGCAAGATTACACAAAGGCTCAAAATAAAGGGATGGAGGAAGATTTACCAAGCTAATGGAAAGCAAAAAAAAGCAGGAGTTGCCATTCTCAACTCCGATAAAATAGACGTTAAAGCAACAAAGATCAAAGAGACAAAGAAGGCCATTACATAATGGTAAAAGGATCAATACAACAAGAAGAGCTAATGATCCTAAACATATATGGACCCAACACAGGAGCACCCAGATACATAAGGCAAGTCCTTAAGAACTTACAAAAGGACTTAGACTCCCACACAATAATAGTAGGAGACTATAACACTCCACTGTCAATACTAGACAGATCAACCAGACAAAATATCAAAAAGGATATCCAGGGCTTGAACTCAGACCTGGAGCAAGCAAACCTGATAGACATTTACAAATCTATCCTCCCAAAACCCACAGAATACACATTCTCTCAGCACCACATCACACCTACTCTAAAATTGACCACATAATTGGAAGTAAAGCACTGCTCAACAAATGCAATACAACTGAAATTATAAAAAACAGCCTCTCAGCACATAGTGCAATCAAGTTAGAACTCAGAATTCAGAAACAGACCCAGAAGCACACAGCTTCATGAAAACTGAACAACTGGCTCTTGAATGTTGACTGGGTAAACAATGAAATGAAGGCAGAAATAAAGAAGTTCTTTGAAAGCAATGAGAATGAAGACACAACGTGCCAGAACCACTGGGACACATTTAAAGCAGTCTCTAGAGGAAAGTATATAGCAATAAGTGCCCATATGAGGACAATGGAGAGATCCAAAATTGACAACCTATCATCAAAATTGAAAGAGCTAGAGGAGCAAGATCAAAAAAAACTCAAAACCCAGAAGAAGACAAGAAATAACTAAGATCAGAGCTGAGCTGAAGGAGATTGAGACACGAAAAACCCTTCAAAAAATCAATAAATCCAAGAGCTGGTTTTTTGAAAAAATCAACAAAATAGACAGACCACTAGCCAAATTGATTAAAAATAAATGAAAGAACAACCAAATAGATGCAATAAAAAATGATAAAGGGAAAATCACCACTGATTCCACAGAAATTCAAACCATCATCAGAGAATATTACAAACAACTCTATGCGCATAAACTAGTAAACCTGGAAGAAATGGATAAATTCCTGGATTCCTGTGTCCTCCCAAGCCTAAACCAGGAGGAAGCTGAAACTATGAATAGACCAATAACAAGGTCTGAAGTTGAGGCAGTAATTAAGAGGCTACCACACAAAAAAAGCCGAGGTCCAGACGGGTTCACAGCCGAATTCTACCAGACACACAAAGAGGAGCTGGTACCATTCCTTCTAAAACTATTCCAAATAATCCAAAAAGAGGGAATCCTTCCCAAATCATTTTATGAGACCAACATCATTCTGATACCAAAACCCGGCAGAGACCCAACGAGAAAAGAAAACTTCAGGCCAATATCCATGATGAACATAGATGCAAAAATCTTCAATAAAATATTGGCAAGCCGATTGCAACAGCAAATCAAAAAACTTATTCATCATGATCAAGTAGGATTCATCCCGGGGATGCAAGGCTGGTTCAACATACGCAACTCTATCAACGTAATTCACCACATAAACAGAACCAAAAACAAAAACCACATGATTATCTCAATTGACACAGAGAAGGCATTTGACAAAATTCAACAGCCTTTTATGCTAAAAACCCTCAATAAACTCGGTATCGATGGAACATATCTCAAAGTAATAAAAGCTATTTATGACAAACCAACAGCCAATATCATACTGAATGGGCAAAAACTGGAAGCATTCCCTTTGAAATCTGGCACTAGACAAGGATGCCCTCTTTCACCACTCCTATTCAATATAGTACTGGAAATTCTAGCCAGAGCAATCAGGCAAGAAAAAGAAATAAAGCATATTC